ATCTGAACAAGGTTCCTTTTTGTTCAACATGCCCCTCCAGTCCTCACATTGAAATCTGTTTGAGATGAGCCCCTTACAAAAAAGACCCCATAGGTGTGGCACACTATCTTCCCACTTCCCAGGCCGGTCAGCCAAGAAACTTCGTAATTTGTCCAAATGAAGACCCAACTCTTCATCCCCAGTCCTTTCGGAGACATGAGGGTTTCGGGGGTTCTGCATTTCTTTGCGGACACCTCAGATCCCCAAACATTCATTCTCTGACCGCCTGTCGATCCCAATGTTTATGTTATGAAGACTATGCTGAAGAATGTGTGCATCTTCTGTTTCCTGATGCACAACAGCTGAACCATTCAACCCTTCGAGCCTTTCCAATCTATTGGCCTCTCATCCCATTCAGGTGCCCGGATGGTGCCCAACAGCACCAGCCATTGATCTGCGAACCAGAACCCCGCGAGCCGATGGCACCAAAAAAGGTTTCAAATGAAATTCTCATCTTCAACCGTGGGAAGGCTAAGGGTAAGGGGAATCGGGGTAAAATACTTCAAGAAATCGTCAAGTGCTGTGGGTAGGATCCTGAAGCATGTCTCAATAATCTTTCATGAGTTTCATGTGTATTTTTTTTTTTATGGGGTGCTGTTTTACTTTCAACCAGGAACCACGTTTGGACATGTGATGTCTTCAAATTTATGATCCCATTTGCCCTGTGGATAGCTCAGGAAACTTTCATCTGCGAGGTGGAGGTCATGAAGTCAGAAATCACCCAGTGTGAGCTGGCGGGGGAAGGGGAAATTGTTTCACGGGTCTTGAATCCCTTTCTCTTCAAGTCTTCGTTTTTCATCTTTTGTTCCTCTTCATCTTCTTATTCTCATCTCCGTTTCTCTTCACTCTACAGATGCTTCCAAATGCCATGCCTGCCACACAAACAGCCGCGGCGTCAACGGCGACAAACGGGAACCAAGCGCGCCACCAGAGCCAGCCCAGTGCCATAAAGCGCCACGCCTGCCACAGCGATTTGTGTGTGAGGGTGTTGTGTGTGTGGGAGAGTTGTGTGTGAGAGTGTTGTGTGTGGGGGGAGTTGTGTGTGCGAGTGGTTTGTGTGGGAGAGTTGTGTGTGTGAGCAAGTTGTGTGTGAGAGAGTTGTGTGTGAGTGTTGTGTGTGAGAGAGTTGTGTGTGAGTAAGTTGTGTGTGAGGGAGTTGTGTGTGAGAGAGTTGTGTGTGAGGGAGTTGTGTGTGAGAGAGTAGGAGGGGCGGGAGGAGGAGCGGACGCGAGTGCACAACCAAAAACAAGAACCCCACACAAAGATGTGGGGGAAAAACTTTGCAGAGGAAATTGGCAGGGGTATGCAAAAATGCTGTACAATTTCCTTCTGCGTAATACTTTTGTACTGATTTAAACTGATAGTTTCTATATACGGAGCAATGGAGCAATTGAGCAATTTTACGTTTAGACCTGATGTTACTTACACATATATATATATATGGGAACTAATGGAGATTTAGTCCAGAAATGCGTCTGATACTAACAGATGGTTGCGGAGTTGTGGACTCTACTGTAATGTAAACCCATATAAACCCACTTTCATAATCCATCCCCAACAACATTTTCATGGTAGAAACCATCCCCATGGTAGCTTTATGCCAGGGAAACGGAAACCGCACCTCAGTGGCTTCCTGAAGACCTTCTCCCACGCAATAGTCCCAGGTGTTTCGGCCGCAAGTGTTGGCTTCCACCTAGAACTCGACTGCGAGTCGACTGGATGAGTCACTGGGAATGCTTTGAAGCAACCATGGAGCCTGTGTTTCGAACTTTGGAATGTCTTTGAAGCAACCAGTGGAGATTTGCTTTCAATCCGAAACACAGCTGTATGATGCATATGGATGCATATGGCGTATGCAAAATCCATCAAACTCCCACAATAGGCCAGCTCCTGACTTGACAAACAAATAGGAAAGTTACACTTTCCGGACAGGAAAAAGCATCTCCCAAAGCCATTTCTTCAGGTGGAACCAACCGCCTGCACTTCTCATTGCAAAAAGGTCAGCAACATTCAGTGGGGATAGCAGCTATCTTCCAGGGTAGATTGCCGGAGATGTTTTTGTCCGCATCGATGGGTTCTTGAGGTCGAGAATTCCGTCTCATAGGTATTGTAGCTGGGTAGGCATAACCCCCAATATGACTTCATCATGAATCAAGAGCCTCCAGATTGAACAACTCCCAATGATACGCTGTTCGTAACATCATGAATGGACCAAGAGCCAATGAATGGACATAGTTCCTCTTTTGAGATTCATTGTGATGGCACTAAGAATTCTCATTACCAATGGTGGCTATGCCCTTCGGATCTCTTTGGGTAGGCTTATCATCAGAGATACCTAAACTGCAAGATAAATTTGGATGAAATAGACTGTTTGTCCGCTTTTTGCCAATCTTTTGGTCAACAATCTTTGATGCCAACCCCCTATCACATCCTAGGGTTCTATCATTCGGGGTCCCAGGGAATTTGACCGTAATAACCGTAATAGTGGGTCTTACAAACGTTGAACTTAAACAGTGTCATTCACGTGTGTCCAACCGAATGTCACTAATGTTCACCCCCGGACCACCTGGCGATGCAACTGGACGTTGATCCCCCAATTCATATAGTCGCAGCTGGCATGTGGGTTCCCCATTATTGGTTGAGGAGCAAGTATATATATTGAATCAATCACTTTCAATCGCCATTTTTGATGCTGAATCATGATTCTCTTTGATGATTTACCCCTTAGTCAGGTTTAAAAACATCCCTTCCCCCTAATATGAAATATACCCCATAGAAACCAGTGGTTTAGTGACTTGGAGGCCCCCCAGCGGTTCATCACCGTCGCCTGACACCAGCTGAGCGCGTCGTTTTCGCTGGCCGCGTGGCAGCCGTGCCACAGGATGCACTTGTTCCTGGGGGACGGTCGTCCCATGTCATGGGGAATCCAAACATCATGGGTACCCGGCCTGGTAAACATACAAAAAGCTATTGAAACTGGCCATAGAAATAGTTGATTGTCTCATTCAAAATGGTGGATCTTTCCATAGTTATGTTAGATTACCAGAGGGTCATCATGTTTGTCTGTCATAGATCATAAATCCCTGTGAAAATGGATTGATGACCATCCCCATACCCCAATACATGGCGTGGCTCGCGGAGAATGGCAATCGACCATGGGATTTGAGTACTAGTTAATCACATGGGTAACCAAAATCTGGATATCTCATCAACAACTGATACCGGATATCATTAAGCTTTTTTCGATTTATATCGATTGAGTGATAAGCGCAATCATGTATGTTCATGAGAAATATCGGATCTTTAGCCTCTTTAGCCTACATTTTAAGGAGTGTTATAGACACACGATAAACACACAGCGTCGGCATTACCCATCCAGGTTCACCGAAATAAATCTGGGGGCCCTTGGGCCCTCGGCCAGGGCTCTTGGGTCATCCTATGATATCCTATGCTGGGAAGCAAGTTACCATATCTTATTGGGGTCATGGTCTATCCCATTCAGAGATGGGTTATGAGATGTTGCGAGAATGCTGGTGCAATTAGGTTGAAACATACGGCACATGTGGAGTCCAAAACTCGAGTGGTGATGAAAACAGAAGCAACAAGAACAGCAATCACTCCGGATACCCTCCGGAAATCAAACATGGCAATTGAAAATCCGCCATTTATCAGATGTTTTCTTCCCATTCAAAGCTACATTTACTTCGGGGACTTTCCGGCCACGTTGGACCAGAGGGTACAGGTGGTGAAATCCGAGGGTCTCTTGTTACAGTGCCTGGCGCCATAGGGGTGACCTAGGACCGAATCTGCCAAGACTCTGGAAAAGCCCCTTGCAGTACTTCCATCGAAGCTTACACCTTGCAGGTGCCAACAGATGCCAATGATTGGGTGCATTTTTCTACGATGTCATGGGGAGGATGAAGATTGCCAAGATGTGGTTCCTGCACCCTGAACATGTCCATACTGAATTGAAGAATACACAATGCTTGGTGCGCATCACAACTCAAACACCAACAGATTGAGAAAATCATGTGCTGATTTGCCAAGATTTATAGCGTGAAGTCTATTTAAAACATGTCGTGGATTTAGCCACGTCAGCCCCAAAGATCCCCGAAGTTTTGCAGTTTCAAAATGGCCATGCCTCGCACTTAGTCACTCGGCCTGCACTTTTAAGGAAACGACATCATTGAAATGATTCAACTGTCAATGATCGTTTATGGGGATTATTTTTTCCAACAAAACAATCTCATTTCCATCATTTAACCATCATTCCCCATCCATTTTCAACTGTCATTTCTGGCTTCGTCTCTTCGTGGCTAAAACCGGACACAACCGGGGGCACCTGCATCCCTGTGAGGTTTGGAAGGGCCGGCAGGCATCACCTGTACCGGCCAAGGCGGCAATCTCAGGATGGCACACGGTACCTTTTTTAACAACTGGCCATCTGGTGAAACAAACAGGTTTTTTTTTTTAATGGAAATCGCCACTTTTACTATATATATATGGTAAATGACAAATGGGCCATTTTCAACTGCCAAAAATGTTGAATTAGCGGAGTTTTTGTAAAAGCAACAAGCATCTACGTTCAAACATACCCGGTAATCAACCATGGCGGGCTGCTGGGAAATCATCAAAATTCGCCCTGTCTGATTGCACACCATCCAGGGCCAAACAGGTCCGTCTCCCTCCAAAATGACTCCAAGATGAAGCTTTCGCTGATCTTTCGCTGAATTCTAGTTTGGTCCAAGTGAACTACGCAAAACATCTCCAAAACCTGGGTTTTACATAAAAACTCAATTCATTTCAGGTATCTACGAAATACCATATTTCATTAAAAATCATACAAGGTGGTGCTCTCCAGTCATGTTTCTTGGTTCATAACCTCATGTAACCACCACAACAAATCATATCATATGAATATTTAACATAAACCATCATAAAGCATAGTTGGATATATCAAACTAGTCCAACAATGGCACTTCAACATTCAGCAAGGTTGATTCTCCCGTTAAAAACCTCCACGTTGTCGCGCCTAGCAGGCGCCACTTGCCCTCATGGCATGCTGCCAAAGGCTGACCCTCCAGGCCCACGCCACAACGCAGTGGGACCAGATCCGCCTGGACCCAGGGGGATAGCGAAGGCGGCCAGGGAAATCAGGGAAATCAACGAAAATAAAAACATCAGGAGCCAAATTTTCAGGCTAGAAATTGCTAAGTTCTGTTGTATCGTGTCTCATTCAGGTCAACTTTTTAGGGAGTTTTTGGTACAGGAATGTACAGTATATCATCTGGGTAGGGGCAACTTTTGACTGATTCTTAGTGTAGCGCGCAGCTGCACACAAATGGCATCCAAATCCATCCCGACGTCAAGACTTCATCGTAGCATCTTTCGGAAAATCCAAATCCGTTTGTTGGTTTACATCCCTTTCATACCCCTGATATCCATGTTTTCCGCATGTCTGCTGCTCAATCCATCATGATCAACAACCCTTATGGCATCGCCGGTGTGCGAAGCTCTACAATATAAATTAATAATATGTGATATACATATATATATATATTAATCATTCAAACGATTTCAGTCACAACCATGGCAAATCATATTATAGCCCCCCATGTTTCCCATGAATATTCCGTCATATCAAAACTAGTCCAATCTTTAGCTCATGTATATCAACTTTTTATATCTAAATCTGGTTGGTGGTTTGAACCCCTCTGAAAAGTATTAGTCAGTTGGGGTTACTATTCCCAATATATGGAAGAATAAAAAATGTTCCAAACCAGCAACCAGATATATATATATATATTATATAAATATATATATATAAATATTACTTGTTGTATCTAAATATTCTATATTTTATATCCGCATTCTGTGTTCAAATAGCACCATTCCAAACCCCCTCAGGTGTCACCTGCCCAGTTCCCGCGAGATCCAGGTTCTCGGAAGAATTCATGTGAAGCTCGTCCTGGAGATCTCCGGGAGATCTCTGGGAGATCTCTGGGAGATCTCTGGGAGATCTCTGGCCCCTTGGGAATCTCTGGGGTGGGGATATTTCCATGATAGAAATCAGCATCAAAATTGAGGAGAATCATCAGTAAATGGGGATCTCATGGGAAGCCACTGGGATAAATCACCCAATAAATCACTAATAACTGGTTGGTGGTTTTAACCATCTTGAATAAATATGAAAGTCAATGGGAAGGATTTTCCCATATATGAAATGGAAAATAATAGCCATGTTCCAAACCACCAACCAGATAATCTGAGTCTGAGTCGTTGGGGTGTGTATGGGGTGGTACTCTGTGTATGGGGTGGTACTCCCCCAATTTATGCTCATTTTGATCAGGAACATGATAATCAACCCATGGATTTGGGGCACCCTGTTTTCACACCAAACCTGAAGAAATGGTTTGAGGGTTGTTAACCAACCAACATTGAAATTTTATTCAACGAAAAGGGCACATAAATCAATCATCATTGGGCTTACAGTACATATATACACTGTTTTATCTAAACCCCCAACATTTTTAGGCACGCCAAAACAGAGTACCACAATTTTCACCTTATTCAATAGGAATCTCCACTCAAACCACACAATCGGTCTACCACATCACCCTATCCTACAAACCTAAATAGTCAAAATCCAAAAGTTTGGAACGGGAATTGTCGAAGAACTTGGTCCTAAAACCTGGGATCTACATCGAAACTCGGAAAAAAAAAGGTGGCGACCCCCAGCTAGCAGTTGGTTTATAAACCATGGGTAGATACCATTAATTTTAGATACCATTAATGATACCCCCATTTTATAACTATCATTCATTGTAGATACCCTTGGGTAATCCATGGCAATGCCATTTCAAACGATCAAAATGTCGCATCGAAAGCTCTCCAGAAAAAGTTCGGGGATTCTAACAGCGAGACACATGTGATAGATGTACCATAAAGCTATCCTTTTTAGCCGAAAAACCAACTGGTTGGTGGTTGACCTATCCCTCTGAAAAATATGAGTTCGTCAGTTGGGGTTATTATATGTTATTATTCCCAATAGATGGAAACATAAAACATGTTCCAAACCACCAACCAGCCAAGAGATGCCAACCCCCTCACCTTCCAGGATGCGCCAAACTCCCTCTGCAGAAAACGCTGCAGATCGGTGCAGCGCAGCTTGCAGCCGCCTTCAACACCTCGCAGCTTGGAACTGGGAGACTCAGCCTATGTTAGAATGACATTTCACTAGTGAAGTACCCTTTGGTAATCAAACATGGCTAGCTGGAAAATCACCTAAAAACATAGGGGTTAATGGGGAATCCATTTATAAATTACAGATTTTCCATTGCCCGGTTTAACTACCGGAGGGTTTGTGGTACAATGCATGTTTCAATGAGCAATGAATCCAACAACCAAATCGAAGTTCATGGACGAGACCACAGAATACGATACCCAAGGCATGGCAAGAAATTCTCACAAATTGCCTTGCAGAACGGTTCAGTACAAGGTGGTGCCCCATAGTTAGCTAAGTTGGTTTATAACTCCAATAACTATGGTTTATAGGTGATATATCCATAGTTAATGGGGTTTATAAACCAATTTATAACTAGGGGGCACCACCTTGTATAATCAATTTCTTACTGGTGCTTAGTAGGGAATGGATGGGAATGGAGGGAATGGGATGATTGTTGATAGTTATTGTGGATCATTCCCGAAAATTCCCTGCTAAGCACCAGTAAGATTTACTCCTTCATCAATGCATTGACATCATGTGGCGCATCACATTGCAGAGCATTAAATGATATCAGTACATTGCACTCCAAAAAACCACAAAAACGAACAACAGGAAACAACACGCCAAACATACCAGAAGAAATCGTGATTCATAGCATCCCAGAAAATATCAACACACTTTTTCATGAGGCCTCTGTATGATCCAAATCTAGTATAATCTAGTGGTAAATGGCCATTTCGGGGACCTTTTTTTCCCCATTTTCGGACAGCCCCATATGGGGGCAAGATCACAAGCGTGAGATCTATGTAATGGGTCCCAGCTCAAAGGTGGTCAATTCTCGAACTAAGTGGTACTGGATTTCAATGGGCCCATAAGAAACTGTTAAGTTACTGGTAAGTTGATAAGTTTATCCAGAAAACATCATATTAAGTTGGTGATATCTCCCAAAATTATCCCATTACATGTACCTATTACCTATAATATATATGTACAGTATATATATATATAGAGTATATTTTCTTAAATCCCATTACACCCATATAAACCCATCAATCCCATGTTGGCACCATGTAAATGGGATGATTTACGCTTGTCTGGACATAGTCTACCCCTCCCATTCCATCCACTGGATTGTTATCATAATATCATCGTTTTTTTCTAAGGAAAATAATCATTGCCATCTACTATTACTAATTACATACTGTTTGTTTCCAGTTTACTCTTATTACCCTTATCATTATGATTTACATTATCGTTATTCTTGTCCACCCACTGGATTATCATCATGTTCTCTATTAGAAATAGTTATTGATAAAAAATGTTTTTGATGTAATTAATTTATTCATGTTTCCCGATTATCATCATAATATTGATATGCATATCATTTTTACTACTACTATTATCATCTATTATCCATTAGTATTGTTACTACTATTATCTATTACAGTATCATATATTGTTATATATCATCCATCCAGTGGAGGTTTTTAAACATCCTCTGAGTTTCCGAAGTCGTGCCGTTGAACCCTAAAGCGCCGAGCAGCTGTACTTGCCATCCTCCCTGCAGGTGGCCACGAGCGTACCTGCCGTGGTACGAAATCCCCAAAAAACTACAGATTCAATCAGATTCAGAGTTGAAAAATGCTTTTACAAATGATTTTGACATCATTTCTCCAGATATTTCAATCAAATACTGAGGCTGATCAGGAAAAGCGAGCCATGTTCACCCGCCAAAACTTGCTGGATACATGCGGATTCCACTAACACAGTTACATGATGTCAAATATTAATTAAATGTGGTTGAATCCACATGGTTCATAATCGCATAAATTATCATAAAATTATATCGTCAACACATGGCTTTAAGCAAACATGTGGATTTCAGAGAAACAGACTAAAACAAAGTAGGTAACAAAACTGGGGAGTATCAGGGCTGATATGGTGCTTCCAAACAACAACAACAACGACGACGACGACGACGACAACAACAACAACAACAAAATTAAAGAAGAAAACTGTCACTGAAGACACTTATTACTTCAGGCATTGCCCCCAGGGCCGCGAACTAGTTTCACCTGTAACATCCTGTAATCTATATAAGCTGGCAATGGTCTCCGACGTCAATGAGTTGCAAATGGTGTTCCAGTATGTACCAATATCATATTTTCCAATGGAGAAAAACATCACGAGAAACTGTATAAACTGTTGAATGCGCGCATACCCAAAGGGCAACCTGGGGGATTCAACAGCTGGGGATCATCCTCAAATATCCCCCAGATGAGCAGTTAGGGCACCAGGATTGATTTGTTCACCATCACACTCCACAACAGAAAACCAATGTTAGATACCTGGCAACAAATCCGCTTTGACAGAAAGTACCCATATCCCATGCCATACTGCTTTGTCCATCTGTATGCTGAGAAAAGGGTGTGTAATGATCCACAATAAAGCATCATCTAATTATCTAATTTTCTATATACAAGCCCCTACAATAAAAAATCAACCGAGGTACTGTGAATTGAGGAAATCCTGCACCATTTGCTAGCTATATATATATATATATATATATCATATATATATATATATCGGAAACTGTGAAACACTGTAAATAAAGCAAAATTCTTACAATGGGATAGACATGGATAAAGCATGATAAAGCATCTACTAGTCTACCAGATCTACCAACTGATACAGGATTTCGCAACTATCCGCAGCCCCTCATTGCCTCCGTATCCTGGGCTACATTGGTAGGTGACACGAAGACCTTCGAAGAAACCTCGGCCCGCAGTTCCACATTTTTTCAAGCGCCGGAAAGAAAAATACCAACAAACATCAACAAACTATATTGGAACGTATGTTTTTTCTATTGGTCTTGACCATGTTTGCCTATTCGAAATTAGGGTTCACTCTAGTTCCTGCACGTTTTTCATAAATACAATTCTCGAACAAACAATGGTCTTGATAATATCGTGGTTTTATCCATGTTTATGAACCAGACCTCCTTGGTTTCCCCTGTATCGTAAAACTCACTGCTTTTGCCGCTTCCGCTTGACAGAATCTTATATCCTGAAATGAAACAATGAAACACTTCCAGAATGATTAGTGTCACAAAGAAAACACGATTGTGGATAAACAAATCCAGTTGTTGAGTTAAAAGTCAGCAAAACCTTAGGTTCAGGGGTCAGTTCATGTGCATGCAAAACTGCTGTCAGGATTCTTTGTTGATGACCACGATGAAAGGTTTAACTGCTGAAAAATGATCTTAGTCATTGTTGGAACCAAAATTATGGCAACGGCTCACCCGAAAACGATCATCATATTGTGGCAACCGTTTCGACCAATGATTGGTGGAAAAGAAAGGGCATTGGTTTCCGGCCGCAATGGCAAGCGCCCTTGCAGGAAAAAAACGTGACTATCAACATATCAAATCGTGAATTATGAAATTAATGTACCTGGCAAATTCGTGATGAAGCCTGCAATAAGAGCCCATTTCGTAGGATTGACCCCAAACATAAATGGTGTGTAACCATGCTTGTTGACCAGTTCTTTATCTCCATGTTTGTCCCTCACAAGCCGCACAATTGGATACTCCTACAGGTCCTCCATCCACTGCTTAACCATTATTTTCCCCGGAACATTTTTTCCTGTATGTAGCCGTTATATGCCGTTATAACCCCACTTTCAAACGCAACCTAAGGAGTGCCACATATCAAATTGTGGGTGATCTGTCTCCTTATCTTACTTTCCCATGAAATATATGATCCTTTTAAACCTAGCATCCCTCAACATTTTCATGGGAAAAGGATATATCAACATGGTTTAAAATGTTTTTCAAACACTATTGGTGTTTTTCCCATATCCCATGGTTTCAATCCCCAAAAAAACACTAACCGAACATCCGGCAGACGTGGCACCTGTCTGCGCCAAGGTGTTGTTGTACACAGCGATGCTGTTGGGCAGCGCCGGCGGCGTCGTGCACCGCCGCACGCATCGGCCCTGGAGTTGGAAGGAACCGTCGTCCTGGGAGACGAGGCAATGTTCCCAATAAACAAAGAGGTCGTTTGACTAGCAAAAAATAAATAACAAACAAAAGTTGTCACAAAAAACACCTGGGAATTAGTAATGCCAACATCGGATTAATCAACCCCCCCCCCACCAGGTAGGTAGGGGGGTACCTTCTGGCTAGTTTCTTGACTACCCCTTAATAATAAGAAACTCTGAACCATAAAAAATTGGATATGGCTTACGTCAATTAGATCTTAATTGAATTCTATTGGATTTGTTAAAATCTCATGGATCAGAAAGGTGGTTGATTAATCGGGGGCAAACCATGGTTATTATTAATGGGGGACATGGGCTCATGGGGGGTACCCTTTGGGAGCTATCCAAACTGATGATTTTTATAAAGATTTTAATTAGAAATCGATCATTTGGGGAATAGTCATTTTTTGAATTTTTCAATGATCAACTTAAACCTTAAGTATAACAATGATGATCAAAAAAAATGGTAAAAACAAATTGGAAATAAATAGAATTGGAAATAAAAATTGTTGGATAAAACATTGATTTCAGCACTGGTGGTTTTTTAATCGGGGGGATTTATTAATCCGGGGGGACCACCTTTTTTTAAATTACAATTTTTTTGGGGGCAGAGGAGGTTGATTAATACCGCGGGGATTATTAATCCTAACTTGGCATTAATTGATTTATGTTGGCTACGTTGGTTTACAACTGACATATCTATACATATCTAGGTCTAAAGCGTATGGTACAAGTAGATATAGCAAAAGTTCATGGTGTACAGTAAAAACACAATTTCTGACTTGGGGGCACCGCCTTCTACATATTCAAATAAAACCGATAGTCATAGTGAATACCAAACAAGGCGCTGTAGGAATGGTTGTAACGCTCACACGCACATACATCTATCTGTCTACCTATCTGTCTATCTATCTATCTATCCACCCGTCCATCTGTAAATAAAACGGCGTTTTTGCACCCACAAAAACATACTGGTTGAATTTACAGAAAACGCATGCCTGAAATGACAGGGCCCTGTTCCCAATTTTCAACGGACGGGGTGGTGCGGCGGTTCCTTTCCCTTTCTCTCTTTCTTTCCCTTCCTTTCCCTTCCTTTCCCTTGCACCCACACCGTCCGCACACCACCGTTCAAATCAGCTCGCTCCCCCACGCGGTTAAACAACTAAACGAGAACCCAAGCATCGAAGATGCTTTTGGGAAAAATATCAGGCAAGAACACAAGTAATCTTGCAAACAAAATTACAGTATGTCCAAACATGTCCAAACATATTTGAATAGCATTCTTGTTAATTTGATGGTAAACTTGGTAAACCCAACTGTTGATTACAGTAATTCCTTGTAATTCTATAATTATGTTTCATGTTCTAGTGATATTGTGGGGAAATGCCAAACCCACAGCCACTAGTCGAAACGCAACCGTCCTGTCAATTCATTTTGCGATACTCTCCAGTAATCAACCGTGGCTAGCTATAAATGAAAGTTCAAATATGAAAGCCATCTATAAATGGTGGATGTTCTACTGCTACGTTTGATTATCGGAGGGTGATCCGTCCCTTTCCAAAGCACAGAAGATCAGAATCACAAGGGGCGGACACATCTTGGAATATCTTGAAATATTATGTATATATGCATGTATACATATATATGAAATCATATGAATATATTGCAATCTTCTTCCAAATGCTTGCTATATTTTGATCTTAACATGAAGTCTGTTGGACACTACGCAAATGATCCTGAAAGGAGAAACACAATGGCTGGTACTTTGGGTATGACCAATGAGATGTCCCAATCATTATGGACCCAGCTTCGCGGTCAAAAGTTAAGACCAGAAAAGCCCAGAGATGTTCAAACAACTCAATTCGTTCCAAGGCACTTACCATTAGTTTAATATAACAATATCAATAGACCATGGTATTAGTGTGAAAGATGATAAAACACCATATATATTATAGTATAATATAGTATAATATAGTATAATATAGTATAATATAGTATAATATAGTATAATAATATATATATATATAATAAATCCTCATATAATCCCCATGAATCCCCGCAAATCCGTGAGTCCTCGCAGGTAGCTGTGATCGTGCCTCCGGAGATCATCTGGTGGTGTTGACTGTACAGTTTCCTATGGTTCCTGTTGCTGCACTGTTCAGGGGTCACGCCTCGCATTCTGTCGCTGTTTATCGCTGTTTTGTACAAGTAAGTTCAGTTCATGGCTGCAATCCATTCAGCCCAGTTTAACCATAGTTGACCTTCCACTAGCATCACCTCCCGCCTGTGAAAGGCTCTTCGCACTGATAGCGCAAAGACGTCCCCGCTTGCCACGTGCGATTTTCCAACTCATGGGGCTCCTGCAGCGGTCGTGGGTTTGATGGTTTGGGTGTAAATATGTGGTCACCACGATACTTTGATATATGATGTGGCCTGAAAATAGGATGCCCCTAAATCCAGTGGTCAAGCAGCATTTTCCCTGCAAAAATGGCTATTTGGGGGTATATATGATTTTTAGATAGACCTATAATTTATAATCCTATATAACATGTCTATAACCTATACCAGCATACCCTGTGCCTCTGGTGTTTGTTGCATCTGGTGTTTGTTGCTGTTTGAAATGTCAGACTTTGAAGCATACCCATATACCTAGTATTTACAAACCACCAACATCCAATGAATAGTAGTGATCATGCACGGGCACCAAACACACACTTGCGTTTTTGTTTCTTGCTTCACACATTTAGTCACTAAGCTGCTCAGCCATCCCATCATCTGCATTCGATACATTCACCAACTGCCAGTGGGGGATACTAACCGTCTTTGACAGCTACGTCGCGGTGAGGTCGTTATATATAATCTACCCATATCTACCCAGCAATACGAATCTTGTGTAGGTTTGTCTCAGGGAAGCTGCGCGGGCGTGAAGCTGCCGGGCTTGTGATGGCTTCCAACCATCTGGAGAACGGACCATTGTGCTCTTGCCGGTGCCTCTGCCACAACCCAATATCTTTGTGCATCAGTTGCTGCATGTCACCAACACAAGCAAACGCACAAACATGCACAAACGCAGGAATCAGCATGGGCTCCTGCACGGACTTGTCCAAGGTTGCATTATCCGAAAACAACAATGGCACAATCTCTGACCCAGCAATGATTTTTGGTTTGCTCGCAAGATTTAGTGGGTTTTTCTGAATGAACACCAAATCTCGAAAGTACAGTACTCGTAAATCCAACTTGCTACTCTGCTAATCATGATTTGAGACGGTCATTTGGGGTATCCCCAGTTCTTGGACAAACCAAATATCCATCTTGTTCTGTATCCTACACTAGTACATTTCATATATTATATCCTTATTGACATCCCCTAATATCCCCCCATTGATATCCACATCTCCCCATTAATTACCAATGCTGAGACACACACACACACATACAGCAATTTTTTATTACGGCGATCATATGTATATATATATATATGTATATATATATATATGTATATATATATGTATATATATATGTATGTATATATATATATATGTATATATATGTCCAGATATCATATAAAATTATATATATATATTCCATTCGTCCTTATACCCCATATTTACCCCATAATATGCCTCTTAGATCCTCCTTACATCCCCAGTATGAGCATGGCTGGTCATAAATCCCAGATCGTTTTCCGAACGGGAAACCATATTATGTTCCACATCTATCTTGGTTTATCCGCTATACCGTGCATTAAGTGCTATCCATACACATCCCATACACTGCTAACCATGATTAGCATTAAATGGCATGAATGTTAATCAACCGTTATCAACCATTATTAGCCACTATCAAACATTGTTGTTAACCATGACTAAGCCGGGATGATTAACTTGAACTAACTAGCATTTTCCCTTAACCCCGGATCCCCATGTGCCACCATCCGTCCAGAAGAGGCTTGGCGCGCGGCACCAGGGGCGGATTTGGACACACCACCTGAGAGGAGCAGAAATCGAAATATTTTTTGGGTAATAACAATATTTAATCCATATATATATATATATCAGTACAATATAAGAAATACGAACCATTTAGCGTGGTTCAATATTGTACTATTATCCTTAACTAATGTTGCTTATCCTTAACCAATAACAATATTTAATACAAATTTGCAGTACACTAGTTAAGGATAATAGTAGCATATTGAAGCATATTAGCAACACACTACCAATTGTTAGAATGCTGATCACTCTGTTTAATCCAAACAGAAGTGACTTAGATAATCAACATATATATATATATTGGGGATTAGTGATGGTAGTATTGGCAATGGCTTATCATAATCCCCAATACTTAGATTTATTGGGTTAGTAGTGCTTGGTAATCAACAAACATATTCATATTATGGCTTATCTTGATCCTCAATAAACCAGTTGTATAGTATCCACCCCTGTATAAACAAAACCTTGTAATGTTGTATAGCCAGTAATAAACCATCCCCAAGTCGTCACCATTTTTATGGGTGGGATTGAAACAACCGCAAAATGCTAGGTTTACAGTTGGGTTGTCATTATTGAGAAATCCACATTTCATGCATTTTGTACCAGTTGATCCATTAAATATGTATATATATATATTATTACTGTATATATATATTATATTATATATTATATATATTATATTATATATTATATATATTATATTATAATATATATATTATATTATAATATATATATATATTAAATTGTATAAATTATATTATCTATATTATATTATATATATTATATTATATATAATATAATATTATATATATATTATATTATATATATTATATTATATATATTATATTATATATATTATATTATATATATTATATTATATATATATTATATTATATATATATTATATTATATATATTATATTGCCTTTTCCCTGTTCCTCTTATCTAACAATCACTACACAGTGAATAAGCATTACAAGTTCAGTCATTTTGGGATTGTATTAACCATCATTTCTACTGACGTCGCATTGAAGGCTTTCAATTTCAACCAGATTGAACACAATTGCCATGACAGCTGGTTTAGAATCCCTGTATAACCCTCCGATAAATGAATTCAGATGTGAAAAGCAATGATAATTTCTCAAGGAACATTATGTACTTACGAATGCTCGGTTTTCAAGATCAATGTTTATTGTCTGGAACGCATATTTTTGTATTTTTCAGCATTGTATTTTAGCTGGATTTTTGCATGTGGTTCGAGGTCCGTGGCAAGTTTCGGCAGGAACATCGGTAAGTACAACGCCGTGAGATCAGGTGATATCAATGAGCAACTTCTCTGGTGTAGCTGGGTGCTGCACACATTCTGGCATTATCTTTTATAGATTGATGAGATACAGTACCATTGCAGGACAAGATATTCTGGTTGGTGGTTTCAACCCCTCTGAAAAATATGAGTTCGTCAGTTGGGATGATGACATTCCCGATATATGGAAAAACATGTTCCAAACCACCATACAGTACTAAGATTCATGTTTGATTGCTTTTTCAAGATCCATCAGAAATTGTGCTGGCATCGCTTGAGGCGACCTGCGACATAACCTGTCCAAATGACGCTGGATCACTGAGGTTTCGAAGGAAACTATCCACTCACAAATCCCAAAACTAAGAATCATTTCCATCCACAATGGATATGTTATCCCAAAACTCATAATCCTGGGTAAATTATAATATTTCACTAACCTGAATTAAGGCCATTTTGGGATGATTTCCCTTATTAACCATGATTCCAGTGAGGTCGCAGTGAGGTCGTTATAATTTACCCAGATAATCCCAATGGATACCTTTTCCAGTTCAATGCTTTAAGGTTTTTCCATCCACGACATTCCCATCGGCACCTCAGTGCATTCCCCTTTGAGACGCCAAACGCCATCCTGGCGGAGTCGTTTTTTAGTGACTCTGAGTAGGTGCAGGGAATGTCATGTCTAGCCGCACCTGCCAAACTGTGAATGATCATTATATATATATAATACCATTATGTGGATGGTATATTATGTGGATGTTATAATGCCAAACTGTGAATGGTATATTATACCATTACTGTGATATATCATAAAATTGTGATCCAATTGGTCTAAAATCCTGGCAAACATACGAATAAAAACCCAATAAAATTCCAAAAACGAAGTCAATGTACTGTCTGGATCTGTCTGGTATAACTGGAGCTTAAGTTCAAGGAGTGACATAGCAACATGCACAAAGTGGGTGCACAAGACACAGATGGTCCCAGCCTTGCCGCAGATGCCCCGAATACGGCCGATGTAGCCCCGAACGCACTCGTAGCTGATCTCCTAACCCCGGCACGGATTGTTCTTGGGGGGTTCTTGGATCCTGTGGAAATGAATGGAACATGTGTTTGATAGGCTCATGAGATCTCATGAGTATATATATATATATATGTATACACATACGATATATATATATATATATATCAGAATATACCAGGGATAGATGTTGATGACCATTGATTATAGATATTGAATTATTGAATGTTATTGATGGATGAATTTGCAAACTGATCGCACCATGTTAATTAGTTAGTATATGTTAGTATGATTCGAATGGTTACTACTAGCTTTGATTTCAACTTCGAAGGCTTGAGCTCTTCGAATTGCCGACACTAGCAGAAACAAAGCACACATATGAAACTAAGGTTTGTGCTGTTGGTATCCCCCAGGGTCTCTTCGTTTATCTTTGTTTGCACTTAGGGTGTATGAACTCCACATTCAAAATGCATCAACATGCGATAGTTGTTTCCATGCGTTGGGGCTGGCCCAGTCTGTTGCTGCTATAATTAATCCGTCATCTTCGCTGCCAAAACCATGTCACAGCCACATACCTTTTCTTGACATTCAAAATCCAGAAATATTTCAGTGATTATTTCAGACATGTCCGATTCATCGAAGTCCTCAATCCCAAAAAACTTGGTTTCTCCATGAACTTCACAGCTTGGTCTCCATATCGCTGGTCCATCGGCGGATTTGGCCAAACTCGTGCAGCCGCGCGTGGCCCACTTCCTGAAAGGCGGATCGGGGGCGCCGCAAAAGGTCCAAAACGGCGATTGGAAATTGGAAAAGTAATGAACGATATAATGACAGATGTACATAAGTTAGAAAAATGGGGGGAGAAGAAGAGTTAATTAAGAGACCCTTACTCTGTGACATATTGTGTCATCAGGATGGTGAGGGCTTTGTCATTCCTGTTCCTGGGATCATCAAAATATGTCCCGGGTCCAAAAACCAGGGGGTGACTTACCCCGGCAGCTAAGCAGTTTGCTAGGGAAAATCACTATTTTTAATAGCTAAATCAATGTGAATAATCAAACTCACTAAACCATCCATACCATACAGTAGCAAACCATTCATTGCCAGCGGGTACCCTACACTACCAACCATCTCAGCTATCCGTCGCCACTGGCTTGGCTATGCTTGGCTCCTCTTTAGGCTGGCCGCAGCGAATCCGCGTGCACTCGCCCTTGTAGGTGTAGGAACCTCTGAGGGAAACAAAACTGACATAAATTGACCACTTCCTAATATCTTCGATCCGCACTTTAGAAATCGATTCCCAGTAGCATTTAATGATCATCAATGGTTTCGTTTGAGAACATGGCCGCTTCACATCTCAAGGTTGATCATCAATTTCCCACCACAAAAAATGCATTGTTTGATGGTCCACTTGGGTAAAATAACATACTCTGAGGATGGCCACAGCAGGATAAAACAGCTTTCCTTATTTTTCCTCATATATTTCCATATATGTCCTCTATGTTTCCATCACCTTTTGCCAGCTAACCACTATTTCAGCACCATTTCAGTCGTGATCTTTAATCCATCAATCCTGCGCAAAACGGCCACCCAAAAAACAGGTGATGGCCTGGGAGAGTTAAACAATGATGACCCGAATTAGTGTCTCTGAAAAATAAGTCCAGCACTTAGCTATTTCAAAAACGAGTCATGGCTAAACTTATCGGATTTTTAGCCAATAACTCCCTAATGAACATTAGAATTCGACCTGATCAAAGCCGTCGTATATCCATGATTCACCAATTATCTTGTTCACCCTCTGGCAATCAAAGGTGGCTTGCTGGGTAAGTTCCCATTGCCAGTCATGTTTGATGACATGGGAGGCTTATAGCTATCAGCTATCCATAGCTAAAATACGCCAAAATGACATCTATTGATATCTATTTCATTTAAAACCATTATAAACCATTATTAACAAGCCTTAATCATGATTAAACCGTGATAAACTAATATATATATTGTGTCTTGCCTAACCTCTGTAACAGTCGTTAAAACAATTCTTACTAAACATGCTTCAAATGGAGCACCAAAAAATTACGTTTTTTTTACACGGTTTTCTTCGTGCACCGAATCGTGCTTTTTTGTGGTTTTCTTCGTGCACCAAATCGTGCTTTTTTCTGGTTTTCTTCGTGCACCAAATCGTGTTTTTTTTGAGCTTTCTTCGTGCACCAAATCGTGCTTTTTTGTGGTTTTCTTCGTGCACCAAATCATGTTTTTTTGTGGTTTTCTTCGTGCACCAAATGGTGCCCCAGTTCATGCTTTTCTTTTTGATGATTTTGCTTCATACACCAAATCGTGCTCTAGTTCGAGCTTTTTTGTCGTTTTCTTCGTGCACCAAATCGTGCTTTTTTCTGGTTTTTTTCGTGCACCAAGTCGTGCTTTTTTCTGGTTTTCTTCGTGCACCAAATCGTGCTTTTTTGCGGTTTTCTTCGTGCACAAAATGGTGCCCTACTTCGTGCCACTGTTACAGAGGTTAGGCAAGACACAATATATATATATATATTGATGATATATCACATCTATTATAATTCAAATATATAACAATATCTATATGTTGTATAAACCTCAAAAAAAACAATCATGTGCTCCATTTTAAAAACATCAGATCAACCCGGGGTATCTTCGCCTGTTGGTGAACATCGCAACTGTGCTGAACCAACAAAGCCCGCGGCGCAGTCGAGGTCCTGCAAAGGAGGAAAGCGAAGTCGGCGAAGGCATGGTTGAACCGTGGCGTCTCTCGAATGTATCTATATCTATGCATTTAAGACAATATACATATAATCATATAGCAATACCATTACATTACATTACATTTCATTTCAATTTCATTACATGCATGTACTATCATATATTGAAAATGAAACTGTATATTTATTTGATAGATTATAATAGATCTAATAGTATACCTATATATTTAAGGATCTTATTTGGATGTTCTATAAACCATGTCAGTCTCCGGGCAACATTCCAGGTGACCTTGGTTGAAAGAGTCCGGGTCTTTGTGGGAGTGTGCTTTTTGGTAAGTTTTATGTATTGAATAATGTAGAACATGATTCACTTCAAACATCCGTTTCTGTCTGTCTTAGTTTTGAGGTTTAGCAGTTGTAGAGCTATATATATATATATATATTGTGGAAGATCTTGTGGCTTCAAGTCTTGTGTGTATACGGTACATACCCAAGTTTGCACATCAGGCAACAATAAACTACAAGGACCTGAAAGCAAACCCGTCAATCAGCTGGGAAAATTCAGTTTGGTAGAAATATGATGAAATATGCTGCGATACAGCCATTTTTGCCACGAAATATTGAATTGAGCCCATGAATATCAAAGAGAAATGGAACTCAATTTTGACCGGTTGCGCCACGCTCAAACGCTAGGGTGGTGTTTGCTTCTATGCTGCATGTCTTTATAGCAAGCATGAACAAGAGGAAACAGCACCTTTGATTGAAAGGAGATTTCATTTTGGCCCCCAAGCAGTAGTGCATCTTCCTGACAGAATTCCCTGCATCATAGAGAGATATGGAAGGTTTTATAAGGATAAGCATGCTGTTCTCTTAAAGGGCAACAAATTTTAAAACATAGTATCAAGTCAGATTTTTAAGGGCAACAGCATGCTTCTCATAAGTCATCATTTAAAAGAATGTGGCAGTCCTTGAGGGAGTCGTGACATAGACCATTCAACATTCTCCAACAGAGAGGGCAACATTCCTCTGACAAAGTGTATCATTCCTTTTTTCCAGAGTGCGGCATTCCTTTGAGAAAGTACTTGATTACTTCATTAAATATCAACTTGAACAATGGTGTTATGCAATCTTCCTTTCAAAAAGAAACAGCATTCATTTGGAACAAATATAGCATCATTTTAAAATAAGGCAATTCACTTTATGATATTATACTGAAATATGATAATCAGTATACATGTATACACAGTGTTCCTTTCAAAAGTGTGTGGCATTCCTTTGAGAAAGTAGTCTTCAAGACACATAGCAGTCCTTGTGAAAGAGTATGGCATTGTGTCAGTTCGCGTACTAAAAGGAACCCTTATATATATACATATATATATATACAGTATGTATGATGTATATAGCAATACCTTTGAAAGGGGGTGATGTTTCTGCACGAAAGTGCAGTATGACTCCATGGATTTGTCCTTTGAACAAACATAATATTTCTTGCAGAAAGTCGAACATTATTTTGAAAGAGTATTCTTCAATAAGCAGTTGCACTCTAAGAGACCATGGTATTCCTTGAGGACAGTGCAGCATGCCTTTATGCAAGTTTCTTTGAAACAAATGCGATATTTCTTTATTCCTTCAAAAACAGGGTGGCACTCCTTGATTAGAAAAAAAATACAAAACCTCCAGAACATAGAAAAATAAGGCATCCCCTTTTTCGACAATCAAACATCAGGCTTCGCCCTCCAAAGAGCTCGGACAAGGTTTGATCAATTCGACTGGGAGTTCTATGTGATTTTAATCAATTTGACGACGGGATATATTGAGAAAATCATCTCATTTTTCAAGATGAAACTAATACTCTGGTCAAATTCTTGTGTAAAAGTGTGGGAGTGCAGTAAAACCTCTCAAACTAGCATCTTAAATCATGTGACAAGTGCACTCCGAGGAGGATCCGTTTTGAAAAAGCGACATCTTTTATATAGATTATAGTTCGTAACAATGCACCAGTTTGTTTTTGAGCCATTTTTAGTGGCTTCACCCAGCCAGCATGGTCATTCTTGGTAGCCGTGGTCAGGGTCCTCAAGATCTCCAGGGTCCTCAGCAGATGCTGAGTATAATATTCATTAATATGATTATTAATATACATTATATCATTTAATATCAATACCGTCAATACCCATTAATAATTCTATATTCTGCTGATTTGATACCCATTCAACATGATTCAATCATATCCATTCATTTCTGGGCTTGTCTCTGTTCTTGATCTTCCCAACACTCATTGGCACAGTTGGAACACGCCTGGGCCCGGGGAGGTGGAAGCAAATGTGGGGTGCTAAATGGTCCCACTCCATTTATTTACCAAAACAATTCAAAGCATTTGAAAAAGGACATCAATGGTCATATTTGATGGTAAATCTCCCCGTTCTTCTTGGTTTTATCAGGTGTTCTCTGGCACCATTTGTCCAAACAAGTCAAACAATGGGGGCGAATACCACAGCCATCAAATAATGGGAGAATCATGATCTTAATCAATCTTAATCAATGGAATTGGGGGAGTTTTCCTTTATTTTTCTAATTTTTTTCAGGTACAAACAGACTACCCATTTCTGATGGTTCACCAGGTTCACCAGGTTTCCCAGGCTCCGTCTGCCCACAAAGCTGAAGCCAGGCACCCCCGATGTTGGGCATGCGATGCCTTGCCGTGGATAGCAGGGTCAAACTTTGTCAAACTGTTTGGTGGTTGGTAAGTGGCGATTTAGGGCTCAACATGGTCTCGGACCTTTGGTATCCCCATTCTGAATAGTTTTGAGCCATATCCTCTTGGGAATTTGAAGTGGTTGGAAAATGGTGCTCTGTCCAAGGCCGTGGCCAACTTGAATGGAACTTGGGGTACCCTATTTTGGCATAAACCACCGCAGGATCAAATGGATGGAAGGGAAACTTCATAGCCGCATTCATAGTCACATTTGCCCATGCAAGAGGAATATGTTTTCTTTGAAATCATCGCTATCGGGTGCTAGGGGGGCCACAAGATTGAAATTATGAAGCAGTTTTGCTTTTGCCAAAAAAAGTGGTCCAAGAAAAGTGGTTGGTGGTTTCACCCCTGACCCTAAAGACATAACTCATTGGGAATCACAATCACATCATTATATATATGTTTGAATTTGAACATTAAAAAAAACATATTTGACACCATTGCCAATGTCGCGTAGTTTTGTTGAATTTGGGAGTTTATCCTATTGAAATTGCCAGGGGACCTTGCGGTAATCATCCATGATGTAAGGTGGCTTGTAGTAGCTCCCAAAATGACTAGAATAGTCCTAATTGCTATTCTTTTTGAAGGAATTGTGTGGTTTTATCTTTTTTAATTTTTTGGGTTGCTGTTTTCTCGATAGAAAACCCCATGTTTCCAAACAAAATATGGTTATTTACAGGTCGATAATTCGAATCATCTTTTCATTCGGCGAATCTTGGATGCTTTACACAATATATCACAACCACCAATTGCCCGCTGCTGGATATCATTACAATATGTGATAAAAAAAATTAAACACCAGCTGTGGCAAACAAAGCAATGAAGAAAAAAGATCAGAATAGATATGGCAGTGTCTCAAAACCAATAGTACCCCTTCTGTTCACATCAAAATAGCTGGGTTATAATGGATGTTCATCCCATTAAAAATGGTATTGTTATAGGTATTGATCCATAGCCATATAGCAAATATAGCATCAAATAGAATCTAAAGTACCCTCTGGTAATTTAACATAGCTATTGAAAATGACCATTTATAGTGTATTTTCCCATTAAAAATGGTGATTTTCAATAGCTATGTTAAATTACCAGAGGGTAGCTCACAAACCAATCACGAACCTCCACTGCCATTCCTCCAAGTCACTTCTCGACGGTATCCTCAGAAAAAGAAAGCACGGTGGCCCACTTGGAACAGGTAAACTCCATGGAACACTGACCAGAAACTGGATTCATATATAAATATATGTGATTATATGTGTATGTTACCTGGAATATATTCATAGTATATATATATATGTTCTAATATACAAGTCCAGTGTGGATCCTTGTTTTAAATTGAATCCTTGCTTCAAATTGAAATGGACATGGTGTGGAACTAATAGCCAGCTAGTAACTATTGTGATGGCGCAGCTGTGGGATATTTCTAGTTATAGTTAATAAACTTGCCGACCATGGTCCTCTACCATACGACATTGGATGGGGGCCCAGAACTAGACAGAACTGAGGTTGGCCCTTTGACTTCAATCCTTTCGCCCTTTCAGTATCTTGAATTCCCCCCATATTGCCCCCATAAGTGAACAAATCCAAGTGATTCGCTACTATATGTCTTTCAATATAAATCATGCTATACCAAGGGTTCTGAGGAGGGGTGTGTATCTGTGTCTGTATGTATGTAGGTACGTAGGTATGTATGTATGTGTGTATGTATGTATATGTATGTGTATGTATGTATATGTATGTATATGTATATGTAAATGTAAATGTATCTGTAAATGTATATGTATATGTGTATGTATTTGTATATGTATGTAAATGTAAATGTAAATGTAAATGCAAATGCAAATGTATATGTATATGTATATGTATATGTATGTGTATGTGTATGTGTATGTGTGTATATGTATGTGTATGTGTGTATATGTATACGTATATGTATATGTATACGTATATGTATGTATATGTATATGTATATGTATATGTATATGTATATGTATATTATGTATATGTATATGTATATGTATATGTATATGTATATGCATATGTATATGTATGTGTGTGTGTGTGTGTATCTACGTGTATCTATGCGTATGTATGTGTATGTATGCGTATGTATGCGTATGTATGTGTATGTATGTGTCTGTATGCGTATGTATGTGTATGTATGTGTATGTATGTGATGTATGTGTATGTATGTGTATGTGTATATATATATATATGTGTGTATGTATGTGTATGTATGTGTATGTATGTGTATGTATGTGTATGTATGTGTATGTATATGTATGTGTAGGTATATGTATGTGTACGTATGTCTACGTATGTCTATGTATGTCTGTGTATGTATGTGTATGCATGTATGTCTATGTATGTGTATGCATGTCTATGTATGTCTATGTATGTCTATGTATGTGTATGCATGTCTATGTATGTCTATGTATGTCTATGTTTGTCTATGTATGTCTATGTATGTATGTGTATGTATGTATATGTATGTGTATGTATATGTATGTGTATGTATGTATGTGTATGTATGTGCATGGATATGTATGCATATGTATGTATACGTATGTATACGTATGTATACGTATGTATACGTATGTATACGTATGTATACATATGTATACGTATATATACGTATGTATACGTATGTATATGTATGTATATGTATGTATCTGTACGTATATGTATGTATATGTATGTATATGTATGTATATGTATGTATATGTATGTATATGTATGTATATGTATGTATATGTATGTAAATGTATGTATATGTATGTATATGTATGTATATGTATGTATACGTATGTATACGTATGTATACGTATGTATATGTATGTATATGTATGTATATGTATATGTATGTATATGTATGTACATGTATGTATATGTGTTTGTATATGTGTTTGTCAAAGGAAGTTTAGGGGGAGAAACTTCCGTGTTACGGACTTTTAGAATGTCAGGGAAAGAGTTAGTCAAAGAAAGAGTTAGCAAAGAAAGAGTTCGTCAGAGAAAGAGTTAGTCAAAGAAAGAGTTAGTGAGGGAAAGAGTTAGTCAAAGAAAGAGTTAGTCAGGATATATGAGGTAGTCAAAGAAAGAGTTAGCAAAGAAACAGTTAGTCACAGAAAGAGTTAGCAAAGAAAGAGTTCGTCAGGGAAAGAGTTAGTCAAAGAAAGAGTTAGTCAAAGAAACGGTTAGTCAGGGAAAGAGTTAGTCAAAGAAAGAGTTAGTGAGGGAAAGAGTTAGTCACAGAAAGATTTAGCAAAGAAATTGTTCCCTCACTGTAAATGGGATTGCAAGTGGTGCTGGTGGAGGAGTTGCCGATGGAGTTTTGGAGGAAGTCTCGCACGAAATGCGTTTTTGAGAGATAGCAGATGCACGAAACCCTATGTTTTTTCATACAAAGTCCGTCCCCGAACCTCGATGATCTACCTCTGCGGTGCGACGGGTGCGAGACGGTCTCGTGTGTGGTCGGATCATGGTCGGATCGGTCTCGGATCATGGTCGGATCATGCTCGGATCGGTTCCGCATTGTAAATGGGGTTTCAACTGTTTTTCGTGCATGTGCGGTCGACAGAATTCCATTGTGATTTGCAACTGCAGGATCGTTCCCGCAATGTAAATGGGATTGCAAGTGGTGCTGGTGGATGAGTTGCCGATGGAATTACATTGTGATTTGCAACTCTAGGATCGTTCCCTCACTGTAAATGGGATTGCACGTGGTGCTGGTGGAGGAGTTGCCGATGGAGTTTTGAAGGAAGTCTCGCACGAAATGCGTTTTTGAGAGATAGCAGATGCACGAAACCCTATGTTTTTCCGGACAAAGTGCGTCCCCGAACGTCGATGATCTACCTCTGCGGTGCGACGGGTGCGAGACGGTCTCGTGTGTGGTCGGATCATTCTCGGATCGGTCTCGGATCGGTTCCGCATTGTAAATGGGGTGTCACCTGTGTTTCGTGCATTTGTGGTCGACAGAATTCCATTGTGATTTGCAACTGTAGGATCGTTCCCGCAATGCAAATGGGATTGCAAGTGGTGCTGGTGGATGAGTTGCCGATGGAATTCCATTGTGATTTGCAACTCTAGGATCGTTCCCTCACTGTAAATGGGATTGCAAGTGGTGCTGGTGGAGGAGTTGCCGATGGAGGTTTGGAGGAAGTCTCGCACGAAATGCGTTTTTGAGAGATAGCAGATGCACGAAACCCTATGTTTTTCCATACAAAGTCCGTCCCCGAACCTCGATGATCTACCTCTGCGGTGCGACGGTTGCGAGACGGTCTCGTGTGTGGTCGGATCATGGTCGGATCATGGTCGGATCATGGTCGGATCGGTTCCGCATTGTAAATGGGGTTTCAACTGTTTTTCGTGCATGTGCGGTCGACAGAATTCCATTGTGATTTGCAACTGTAGGATCGTTCCCGCATTGTAAATGGGGTTGCAAGTGGTGCTGGTGGATGAGTTGCCGATGGAATTCCATTGTGATTTGCAACTGTAGGATCGTTCCCGCAATGCAAATGGCATTGCAAGTGGTGCTGGTGGAGGAGTTGCCGATGGAATTCCATTGTGCTTTGCAACTGTAGGATCGTTCCTGCAATGTCTAGAAGGTTTCACATGCTTCGGTGGACGAGCTGAGGACGTAATACCATTGTGTTTTGCTAGGGATTGTTGCTAATCGCATTGTAATGGCTGCGTGAACTTGCTGCAGCTGGATTCTTTCAGATTTTGCCTGCTTTCATTTTCTTTTTCAATTCTTTATAAAAAACGCTTCAAAAATCAACTTTTTCTGCTCTGGCGTCGAGATCCGGTTTTGGAGCTACAATTTCCGACGCCGTTGCGCGTAGTTCTATTGTGTTTTGCAACTCAGTCTCTGCAGATCGCATTGCAATGGCTGCGTCAAGGTTGCTTCCTGCTGTGGCTGCATTCGTAATACTATTGTCTTTTGCAGCTGGACTTCGGAAATCGTATTGGAGTGGCTGCATGAAGGCTGCCACAGTGATTTGTCAGCAGATTTTCTCCATTTTGGCGCTAATGATTTTCCTTCTAAAAATCCTTTTAAAAAGTGCTTCAAAATCGTCTTTTTTTTCGCTCTGGCGTCGAGATCCGGTTTTGGAGCTACAATTTCCGACGCCGTTGCGCGTAGTTCTATTGTGTTTTGGAACTCAATCTCTGCAGATCGCATTGTAATGGCTGCGTCAAGGTTGCTGCGTGCTGTGGCTGCATTCGTAATACTATTGTCTTTTGCAGCTGGATCTCGTAAATCGTATTGGAGTGGCTGCATGAAAGCTGCGACATGGATTTGTTAGCAGATTTTCTCCATTTTGGCGCTAGTGATTTTCCTTCTAAAAATCCTTTTAAAAAGTGCTTCAAAATCGTCTTTTTTTCTGCTCTGGCGTCGAGATCCGGTTGTGGAGCTACAATTTCCGACGCCGTTGCGCGTACTTCTATTGCGTTTTGCAACTCAGTCTCTGCAGATCGCATTGTAATGGCTGCGTCAAGGTTGCTTCATGCTGTGGCTGCATTCGTAATACTTTTGTCTTTTGCAGCTGGACTTCGTAAATCGTATTGGAGTGGCTGCATGAGGGCTGCCACAGTGATTTGTCAGCAGATTTTCTCCATTTTGGCGTCAGTGATTTTCCTTCTAAAAATCTTTTTAAAAAGTGCTTCAAAATCGTCTTGCACAACAACAGTACGTGGTTGGACGACAAAGAGTCGGACGACGAAGTTCTCCGCAGACAATACCGTCATCTCTGGGAAGCTGTGCGGTCCTTTCAACCAGAGTTTGTTGATGCTGAGATGAAGCGCAGACAAGGTCTTGCCGCAGAGGTTTCAACTCTCGTTTGACTGCCGAGGGCTGGGTGTGCGTTGTTATGAACCGCATCCGAGTCTGAATTGCTGTGCTTCAGTAGCTTCGCCTTTCATTTCGAGTTGCAGACGGCAGAATGCCTGTGTCACTTCATTTTCGTTTCTGTGTGCGTTGTTACGAACCACACAAGAAACCATGATCGTATTGCATACATGTGACAAAAAAAGGATCTTTCAGATTTTGGCTGCTTTCATTTTCTATTTAAAATCAACTTTTTCTGCTCTGGCGTTGGAGTGTGAAGGAAGCAGTGGGAAGTGTGAAGTGTGAAGTGTGAAGTGTGAAGGAAGCAGTGGGAAGTGAGAAGTGTGAAGTGTGGAGTGTGAAGTTTAAGTTTGGAGTGCGAAGCGCGCAGTGTGAAGTGTGAGGTTTGGAGTGTGAAGGAAGCAGTGGGAAGTGTGAAGTGTGAAGTGCGAAGTGTGAAGTGTGAAGTGTGGAGTGTGAAGTTTCAAGTTCGGAGTGCGAAGAGTGCAGTGTGAAGTGTGGAGTGTGAAGACTTTGCTTCGCCTCTCGCTGAAAAAATCAAACGGTTGTCGAGGTTTGGAGTGCGAAGCGCGCAGTGTGAAGTGTGAGGTTTGGAGTGTGAAGGAAGCAGTGGGAAGTGAGAAGTGTGAAGTGTGAAGTGCGAAGTGTGAAGTTTGGAGTGTGAAGTTTCAAGTTCGGAGTGCGAAGAGTGCAGTGAAAAGTGTGGAGTGTGAAGACTTTGCTTTGTCTCTCGCTGAAAAAATCAAACGGTTGTCGAGGGAAGGACACGGTCGGGACAGGGTGTCTTTGAACTATAGGTCATTTATGTTTGGGAAACTTCCGCCGCCGGCTTGCCCGGGTCTATGTTATATGTGTTTGTATATGTGTTTGTATATGTGTATGTATATATTTATGTATATGTGTATGTATATGTGTATGTATATGTATGTATATGTATGTATATGTATGTATATGTATGCATATGTGTTTCTATATGTGTTTGTATATGTGTTTGTATATGTGTATGTATATGTGTATGTATATGTGTAAGTATATGTGTATGTATATGTGTATGTATATGTGTATGTATATGTGTATGTATATGTATGTATATATGTATGTATATATGTATGTATATATGTATGTATATAAGTATGTATATGTGTAATTATGTGTATGTGTATGTACATGTACATGTACATGTACATGTCTGTATGTATGTATGTATGCATGAAAACATCAAATGGCATGAAGCAGTTCCACTTAGTAGTGTCAAGTCTCTTGATTTCGTGTCAGCCTATTGACTACATGTACTTAGTGCATCTTGGTACCAATTTTGAAAAGCAAGGTATGCAGTATTCCCTGGAACCCTGGTGAACACCAAAGTCTGAAAATTGATACACAATCATTCCAGATCATTCACCCCAATCTGGTCTAATTGGCCCTGACTCTTAGACATGGCTTTACCTCACAACATCACAACTGACTTTACCTCATGGCATCTTGAAAAAGTGAGTTTTCAACTAGTCAGCTAGTTCCTTCCTACAAGGAAGTTGGATAATACACCCAATTCACTAGAGTTCTATTCACCATAAAGCCTGACTCCCAAACAGGGACCAAGTGGCTCGCGATAGCCCGGGCAGCACCTCGATTCCCACCCCCCATCACAACCAAGAGGCATTCTGCATGTGGAAATGAAGGTCAGGGTGGTTGGCGATGTAGTGCCAAATGTCCCCATCCTTTCACAAAACACACATTCACCTGGCCCACCGGCCCCCCCATTCCGATCTTTTTGTGCATGGTGTTTGTCAGTTGGGAACTTTAGAGCCCAATGATCTGAAATGGGAAGAAAGAAAAGTCACCGGCTCAGAACCTGTCAAGAATCCAGCAGGACAGTTCAGCTTCACATGCACTTGTTCTTGGCAAAAACAACTGGTCCTGACTCCTGACACAACAATTTTTTCGGTGGCTGGTTGGATGGTTGGTATTCAGCTCTAATTCCCCAAGGCCTTCATGGACTCCATGGAAAAACTCTCTCTTCATGGAAAAACTCTCCTTTTGAACCCCAAGTCGTCACAAAAACAGAAACACATTGATTAGAGTACCCTGTCCGTCACAGTTCCATGTCAGATGCTCCCCACCAAAAAAAATATCAGCAGGGTATGCAAACATTTATACAACAGAAATAGACCATGAAAATCCAGCACCCATTCAGATTCGAAATACCAACAACCTATATATTTCCGACATTATTTATCAGGCTGAATTCGAAATTATTCGCTGACCATCACTCACTGAAAAAGCTGCAAGAAGACCATTTGGGGATAGTTACCCCTTACTCAGCATCATTCCAGTGACGCCATCGTGAGATCAGTATAATTCAGCCAGATTTACACAGAAATAAGCCATGAACATCCAGCAACCCATTCAACTCAGATTCCCTCACCCTCAACACAACCTAGAAACAATTTCCATGGGATTTCTCTGACATTTCCATGGGATTTTCAATCTCAACCCACTGCCGTCGTCTGTGGTCTCCTGTGTGCAGGTCTTGTTGAAGATGGGCGGCCGGGGCCCGGTGGAGGTGTCGCGCACGGGGAGAACAAAGACCACGAAACGATGGGCCAAGACACCTCGGAGCTGAGTTCCGGACGGAGGCCGCGGCTTGGGCCGCGGTACTGTGGCATGGATGGGTTAAGAAACCATTGGAACCACGGTAGAAAACAATCACACCATCATTATTATATTATGGATTAGTCATCCAATAATATTGGATGACTAATCCATTTTATGTGAAAACAACCATAGTTTGAAGATGTTTAAACTATTTTTTAGCACCTCGGAAAATCCTTCTGAATTGTAGATGTGACTCATCATTTATCAGAAACCATAGATTATCATATACCCTGCGGTTTGCTCAACCAAGGCTTGCTGGAAATTTTGCTCAACCAAGGCTTGCTTGTATAGTATCATCATGAATGTGTCAATGAATCGTGGTCTTTTTCAAACAGAAACATTATTTATATGTATAAACTATATATCAAATCATATAATATAAGTACTCCCATATGCTTCCATATGCTCCATGGTGCTGGACCGGGCACGTTTTTTTGTAGTTCTTGGAAACTGTTCCATACATGGAGCATATGGGAACGGAATAATAGGAACCCAACTATGGTAGGTAGGAATGTGCAAAATTGATTAGTATATACTGTATCATAATTATATCATCTATGCACCCATCAACCAACAAAAACATTATGGGTTTCAAGAAGCAAAAAAAGGAGTTTGCCGGCGATGCAAAAACGAGGTTGAACCAGAACCATCAAGAACCTGGGGATATATCACCAAGAAATGTTGGGGATCATGTGAACATACCTTCTGAATTCCTCTGATAGTTACTAACTTGTCTAGTTCGGACATCCTACATCTTTCCTAAATCTTCTTTCACAGGGTGGATTTCCACATGTTTCCACTTCCTTGCAACAAATTCCGCCAGGGTAACCAGCCTGGTGAGTGGAAGCCGCCCCCTTTGTAACCTTGAAACTGTGAACCAGTTATTGTTACAATCCATCTGAACATGGCCATGAATAGTCTATGAATCTTTATCTATGTCTCTATATCTATCTATCAATCAATCTATCAATCAATCTGACTATTTATCAATCTCTATATTTACATCATATACCTTATATATCTATATCTTTATAGGATGTTATAATATTATGGGGATGAAAAAAGGGATAGCATGAACATCCAGCCATGAAGCTCCGGTATAACTGAGCCTCAGGCAGCCAAGGACCCAATAGACCAAGTAGAAGAGACAGACCAACGCATTGTCCACCTATTTGGAGAATGGATACAAGAGGGTATAGCCCTGGTGAACTAAACCCCCAAAAGTTGGGATAAAACTCCTATAACTATGGTTACTCTATCCACTTGTAGCTGGCACTTCCAAGTAATGGGGATATAACCAGCTACGCAAAGGGCTATATTGACATGTTTTTTCACCCCGAACGAGTCATGGCAAAGAAGTTTGGGGTAGAAACAAACACACAAATAGCTTATACATTATACATAATGTGACATGTGATTATACATGGTGATATAAGTAATCGAAAGTATCTGCTTATGAAAGCGGTGATATATTATTTGGATTTATTTGGTTAAATCAGCTACCCAGTAGATGGTTATTGTGAATGGTGATTTCACCCGCAATGGTGGTGTAATGGTGTAACCTTTTTAGGTCACCCAGTGGGCTTCAGGAAATGATCCCTATTTTACTTGGATTTTACTTTCTATCTATTTGGGGGTTATTACATGTTGTTACTAATTTGGGGAACTTCAAACTGCAAAAAGCCTAACTTCAAACTATCTAGGATGGATCGACACCCAGTTGCACTCTCTATTATGTTGTCAGAATAGTCTATCCTGGAATGTGAAGAACTATCCATGAAATCAATTGTTTCCGCACGCATCCATCCGTGAATCATGTACCTCAAAACTGTCTCACCTTATTCCAGTGCTTAAGAACCCTAGTGACTTAGGTTATTCACCACCCCATTTGTAGTTTGGAGCAGGGCCGAAAGATGTCTTGCAAGCATCTGCAAGCTCGGTGTATCACCTCCATTTTAGGTCCAAGGATGGGCTCCAGTGACGAAACCATCTGCCTATGGGGAACCACCTTCCGGAATCGACCATTGGAATTGGTGATGTCGGCGGAAATTCACCTGGTACCTTGCTGTTCACCCTCATAATGAAAAACATCTGATTGAGTTTTTTTCCCCGGTCACATACTCCTCCTGCTAATGCAGGTTACATCATACACTGTGACTGTTTACATTCCCGCTTTTTCTACTTTGACCCCAGACTTTTCCAGTGTATATATAAATGGACATCTTTGCAGCTTTTCTCAGGGTGTTGCCACATGTTGCCACCATTTTGTTGATTCTCTCCTTGTTTTTGCAGCCCATTAAATTGCTGCTTTTATACTCCCCTTACCCTCTGGTAATTGACCGTAGCTGTGGAAAACATTAGTGAACATGACCCAATAAAAGTTCCATGATTTGCCGAACATGAACATGCTGAGTTTCCTTAGGACACATATTACGTTGGTTATAATTATATATATACACGTATATTACGTATATATATATATATATATCCTATTATATATATCCTATTATTATATCGCCATTAAATATCATTAATTAAATCCCATCATCAAACTCGGTTGATACTTAAACCCCTCATTTTTCATGGCCCCACAGAGCCATGCACCTGCGACGTTGTCGTGCTTTCATCCGTCTCCCTGGGCCGGTGCGTGAATCTACAGGAAACCATGGTTCTTCCATGTTCTTCCTATGAAATATGAGGGGTTCCTGTAAATTGCCCCATCAACCAATCCAATGATAGAAATGGAGTTTGAATGGGCAATTTATCTCTTAAATGGGTGATTTTCTATTGTGTTTGATGACCAAAGGCTAAGGGTTCAATAGGAGGGAGCCAAGGATCGGCGATGGCCTGGATGGGTCGTTATCTGGAGCTGGCTTTGCCCCGAAATGGAAGCAGAAATAACCAACCATCAGAATGAACAAAGGATATATCATGGACTCATATATTGGATATTACTGGATAATATATGATAAATTATGATCATATCACCAACAAGCACCCTTTTTCCTGGTACCATCCCACTTTTCTGCGGCTCTCACCAGGAGCCACACAACTCTTGGGCACCCCAACTCGACCGAAGGGCCTGGTTCAGAGCCACCTGCACGGGAAGTCTCTTAAAATGGGGGATCCCAAAGTCACCATAGGTTTCAATACTGAGTCATGGTCATCCATAACTTGGATTTGGGCGTACCCCTATGACTTAGGAACCCCCAAATGAGCATTCTTCAAAATCCTTCTTGCATTCCACTACACTGGTTGGTTAAGAACAGGGATTCTCCGTTCTTGGATTATTATAAGTCCATGTAATTCCCCAATATATTGGCTAGCGGCTAGTACAATATCCGAACAAATCATCAACCAACAATCGTATTGAAATGTTTTGAACACTGCTCAAAGAATTCCAATTCTTAGACTCAATAATAATACATAGTGTAGACATATTCATCGGGGTAGAAATACATAAACCATCTAATATGTGTCATTCAAGGTATTTGAGCCCAATTTTATAAAGTATTTTTTTGGTGACAAGTTCAAGATTTTCCAAATATTTCCTGTCTACTTCAGGGATCTTCAGGGATGTTTTATTAGACATTAAATGTGGATGATATTTATCCATTGTTTTGACCAAATGAATCACACCTCATCAGACCCCCAAAATCTTGGCCGACCTGTCTCCTCCAGTTCCTCGCGCATGTCCTGGCCATGGGACGCATATGAATACGTCATGCGGATACATACATGTATGTATGTAGGTATGTAGGTATACGTATTTATATATATATATAATTATATATATATATAATTATATATATATATATATCATGTATGTATGTATATTCATATCTTCATACTATCCCTTAGGATCTCTGATGGACATATATGCATACATTGCAATGTTATCAAAAAATAACTACGGAAGCTATGTAGTTAAAATTTAAGTACGTGGTTTATAGATGGCTTATAGATGGCTTATAGATGGCTTATAGATGGCCTATAGATGGTTTATAAATGGTTTTAGTTATTGATTCACCCTTATCACCCGGTGGTCCTTGCCTGCGGCCAGCTCGAGGCTCAAATTGATGTCTTGGTGAGCTTTATCTCTTCAGGCCGTGATATAATTCTAAAGATTATTGATGATTTCATAATAATATATTTTTTTATCCCACCAAATAATATGAAAACATCAGGAGCCTATAAAGGTGTTATACCTTCTTGTAGTTTATTTTATGAATATATTCCCATAATTAGGCCTGGCGAGCACCTCCAATTTAAGGTTGCTGAAATGGCCGTTGATTTTTTTCAACTTCAGGATCAACAAACAATATCTATCCCTAACCACTTTGCTACTGGAGTCCCCATGGCGGCAGCCGATGCTTCTTGCAGGTGCCAAGCGTGGGAAGCTTGGTACTTCTGCATATATATATATATATATATGTGTGTGTGCGCTTAGTTAGGGGGTATAGCATGGCAACTTTGCACCACCAAGGTCGGTTCAACAGGTTGGAGCCCCCCAAGAAGTACCAATCTGCGACACAGGTGGAAGGTACGCCAACCCCCTGTGCATTGTTTTTTCTTAAAGAGACCTTGCATTAAACATGGTACAAGTGAACGTGTGATCCAATCAAACAAAAAACGATGTTGCAGTTAGATTGGGGGATGCAACTGGTGGGTTCAACTTCAGCCTGCACGATGCCCTCAGCCCATTTTTTTGACCTTGCTTTGTCACGGTTTGCCTGCGGCACTCAGCAAGCCTTGGCACTGAAGTGCGTGCTGGGCTCGGGTGACTCAAATGCAGTGTTTTTTGTCTGACATTTAAATGCAATGTTTTTTGTCTGATATATAAAGTATAAATTTTAGATACCCAATCAGACCAGATAGATAGACATATAATATATATTATATTATAATATGTCTATCTATCTGGTCTGATTGGGTATCTAAAATTTATACTTTCACC